ATTATTCTTACTCTATCTTTATCCTATATAGACTTTCTATTTTATCTTTATATTATTCCTATAGTGTTACCCTATTCTATTCTTATATTCTTATAGAGTTATACCTTTATATGACTATATGACTATAGTGTTATAGTGTTATACCTTTATACCTTTATACTATTCTATTCCTCTTATACCTTTATACCTATATAGAGTTATACCTTTATACCTTTATACCTTTATACCTTTATAGTGTTTTTATTCTTTGATTTTATTATATGACAACCAGCAAGAGTGGCCGAGTGGTCCAAGGCGGCAGTTTAAGGTACTGTTCTCTTCGGAGGCGTGGGTTCGAACCCCACCTCTTGCATTTTACTATATTCTATCTTTATGTACCCTTTTATATCTATATATATGTCACTTATCACTTTATAACTTATGTTATATATTAAACTTTATCATTTCTACTTTTCTACTTTTCTACTTTATTCCTTTATATCTATATCTATATATATATTTATATATCTATATAACTTTATACCTTTATTATTTTATTATACCTTATCTTTTATTTATATTTATTCTTCCTTATATATATATATATTCCTTCTTTTATATATATTACACCTTTTATATATATTACACCTTTTATATATATATATTCCAACTTTTTATATTTATTTATTTCAACTTTTTATATATATATTACACCTTTTTTTTATATTATATATACCTCCATCCTTGGAAGGCCTCTTAGCATAGATGGCAGTGCGTTCCCCTAGTAAGGGAAAGGTCGTGGGTTCGATTCCCGCAGAGGCCTTACACTTTTTATGCCTCCTATAATCTATATGTTTACTTATATCTTATATCTTATATCTTATATCTTACATCTTACATCTTACATCTTAGTTCTTATCTTTATATCTATATATACATCTAGATACTTTTCTATTCTTATTTCTAGATCCTTTTCTATCTATATATTCATATATGTGTAAATGTTTAGATATCTATAACCTTTTATGTTCTATTATTCTTACTCTATCTTTATCCTATATAGACTTTCTATTTTATCTTTATATTATTCCTATAGTGTTACCCTATTCTATTCTTATATTCTTATAGAGTTATACCTTTATATGACTATATGACTATAGTGTTATAGTGTTATACCTTTATACCTTTATACTATTCTATTCCTCTTATACCTTTATACCTATATAGAGTTATACCTTTATACCTTTATACCTTTATACCTTTATAGTGTTTTTATTCTTTGATTTTATTATATGACAACCAGCAAGAGTGGCCGAGTGGTCCAAGGCGGCAGTTTAAGGTACTGTTCTCTTCGGAGGCGTGGGTTCGAACCCCACCTCTTGCATTTTACTATATTCTATCTTTATGTACCCTTTTATATCTATATATATGTCACTTATCACTTTATAACTTATGTTATATATTAAACTTTATCATTTCTACTTTTCTACTTTTCAACTTTATTCCTTTATATCTATATCTATATATATATTTATATATCTATATAACTTTATA